GATAGCATACTGCGGGAGGTCGGGGCGCGGAATATCATGCTGTAAAGCGATTTAGAAATCGCGCAAGCTCAAATCGCGATTTTATGACGATTTCGATTAATCACACAGCCCTATTTCAAATGCAGCAGAAAAGTTGTATATCATGAATGCAATTGAATAAACGCTTCTTCCAAATGTAAATTGGTTAGTTATTATTAAAAAAATGACTGAATCACCCCTGAAAAATCATATAAGTCTTTTCTCTCAAAAATGCACGTGATCATGATTGTCACTAGCAGTGCGCTTCAGAAACCCTGCACCTTCCCCAGCTCCACCTGTATAAATCTGCTATGGGGTAATTTCATGTATGTTATATATGGTGGTTATTTTATATACAGTGGGTACGGAAAGTATTCAGACCCCCTTAAATTTTTCACTCTTTGTTATACTGCAGCCATCATGAATGCAATTGAATAAACGCTTCTTCCAAATGTAAATTGGTTAGTTATTATTAAAAAAATGACTGAATCACCCCTGAAAAATCATATAAGTCTTTTCTCTCAAAAATGCACGTGATCATGATTGTCACTAGCAGTGCGCTTCAGAAACCCTGCACCTTCCCCAGCTCCACCTGTATAAATCTGCTATGGGGTAATTTCATGTATGTTATATATGGTGGTTATTTTATATATGTTTATCGCCAGCAGCAGTATATCTTACATGCTCACAGCAGCATGTCTGTGGATTTATTCGCAGTAACAAATCTCAGTACTTATTCTGTCACAGCAGACTATTCCACCAAGACTAAACACATTAGCATTGTATGTATATTATGCTTAACTCTCATGACAATGCAGTCCCTCTGATTCTTTCAAATCAGAAATATGACCTTATTTCTATTTAAAATGCAACCATAAATGTTTTGAAAAATCATTTTATGATAATTTTTCTTTTTAAATGTCATGAGTTGTCATGACAGAAATGATAAATAAATGAATCAATCAATCAATCAATCAATCAATCGATGAATGAATCGATGGATCAATTAATGAATCATTGAATGAATACAATTTTAGATCACACTCTTGTGACAAATCGTAACTATTTTACATTTTGGCAAATTTGTACAATCTCATTCTTTTGTTTTCGAACAATCTGCTTACCTCCCACTGAGGGTTTAGGGGTGGACCTTCAATGTACAAATCAAATTTGCCACCAATTCACCAAAACATAAAATAATTATGTTGAAAAAGAAGCAGCTAGGAAAAACAGTTGGGAAACAGGGAAAAAGCAAAGCCAATGGAGAGTTCAGTATCAGCTTCCTCTATAACGTATATCATCACATAGAGGGCAAACTCTTGGACGGCAACAACACTTTTAGATTTACGGAATGGAAAAAAGAAAGACAAACTGCAAATTACTTGAATCCGTCTGAACCAAATAAGCAGTTAATTCAAAAGGCTTTTAGAATGAACAATAATAAATCCACTGTAAACATGAACTCAGTGGCACCAGGATTTGAGCAGAGAAATCTGTTAAGAATAAGCATCAGATGATAAATTCCTGGTATAACAGTTCACCAGCATGCAAAAATACAACATGTGCATCATCCGGATAGAGCTGCTATGACGTTGATGATGAACTTATTGTACTGCGGGCAAACTCTTGGACGGCAACAACACTTTTAGATTTACGGAATGGAAAAAAGAAAGACAAACTGCAAATTACTTGAATCCGTCTGAACCAAATAAGCAGTTAATTCAAAAGGCTTTTAGAATGAACAATAATAAATCCACTGTAAACATGAACTCAGTGGCACCAGGATTTGAGCAGAGAAATCTGTTAAGAATAAGCATCAGATGATAAATTCCTGGTATAACAGTTCACCAGCATGCAAAAATACAACATGTGCATCATCCGGATAGAGCTGCTATGACGTTGATGATGAACTTATTGTACTGCCTTCATTAAAAGCTGAGGGAAATGGTTCTGATTATTTTGGATTAAAAATATATATATATATCAACTGGGTTTTTGAGTGACTCGCTATGAGTAAAGACAGGCATGGCTTTGGTGCTTCTACACATTTTAGGCATGAGTCACGTGTGAATCCAGCCAGCTGGGATCTGTCCGAGGATACAGGGAATCGGTATCATGTAAGTGTGATTTCAGGCCATCTCCAAGGCCGTGGCCCCAGATGCCCACACTGAGGTAAATGAGGACACGGCAGATGATAATAAGCATAGGCCATAAGCGACAGCCGCCTGGGGACACGTTCTCCTGTTTCGTATCAATGCATAAACATAAGTAAAAGTCCTTTCTCACAGAGTTTGAATATAAAAGCTGTTTCACATTAGCACACAGCTCTGAAATAAGGCCTTAACCTGAAACAGGCATTTTCATGTCAGAATGCATCATGGAGTTACACAGCTAAACCGCAACATCTCTAAACGACACTCAGGCGCCACAAACCTAGCTGTTGTTCTGTTCATTTCCATTTCCTCTGACACCTTTTACACTTAGGAGACAGGAGAGATGGAAACGTGTGCATCTTTACATTAGAGAACGTCTGTACAAAGGATCCATCCATCTCTTTTCTTGCCTTGATCCCATAAGTTGTGCATTACAGGCTAATCACATCCAGACATGGAGCCAGGGAATGTCACTCACCACCTTGCTTTTGGTTTTATTTTCCATTGCAAGTCCTGCTCTCACACGAACAATCATATCTGACTCACATTCCGCTGACTTCACTGAATAATTTCAGCAATTAATCTCGGAGTTAATGTCATAAATGGAATAGGAAGCAAAACATGACCTATGGTCACGAGTGGGGCTATAACAGGACTAGTCCCTGCGGTCACCCACCCAAAAGACAAACAAAAATTAATTTGACTTGGCCGTTTGTGCCGGTTCAGGTCTGAGTTTGTTGGCAGTTTTGCTCAAGAATGACCTTTTGTTCTGTAAATTCAGTCACATCCAGAACACATAATTTTATTGACGTGAAAATGCATCAAAAACAACACATGGGATATTGGGTAATTGGAAGGACTCAATCGAGCAAAGATTATGGTTTTCAAGGCCTTCAGCTGAGGGAATTTTTTTGTGTGATAAATGGTTTGCTATTTTAAATATTTGCCTCCAGTAAGGAGTTCCAGTCTCTTTTTTGAAATTTTTTTGATACTTTAATTGTGCTTTTACATCCTTTGGGTTGACAACCCAAATTCCCATTCACTTTTGTTATTTTGAAATCATGAGAGTGATTAAAAAAATTACACCATTTAAATTTTGGGGTGAATTATTCCCTTTATTCTAAAGAAACATGCTAATGTTTTTACTTGTTAAACTAAATCAATTACATGCATGATTTCTTTCTTCTGAGGAACAAAATTATACTTTGAAACTGGGATCTAAACAACTTAACTATTAAATGTACTATTTGCTAAGAATTTAGCAATATCTTTATTTTAAAATATAAAGACATTCACTTTTATTCGTAAAGTAAAACAGCAAATGTTTCTTGTCACGTAGGGTTAAATGATTTAGGTTATATTTTCAATTCAAAAAAGCGAAATTTGACACAAAAAGTAGTTTGCGTTTGCGTTGATCGTGTAAAACAGCTGTCAGATATTAACTTACATCTTACATCACACTCTTTCACCATTAAAAGCTATATAACTAATAGTATTTCTTATTTGATTAGATTAGTCTTAAGTGCTGTTAGACTGGTGAGGCTTACCAGACTAAAAATTTGCATTTATAAACCTTTTGTCATCCAAACAACAAACAGGGCAATATCAAGAACATCAAACATTAGGGACCATTTTTGATTATTGGGGGAACTTGTCCCTCTCGTCTCTGGTGGTTACGGGCCTGTGATATACAAACCAAGCTGAAATAGACTTTGAAAAGCACTTCTGTGAATCCTTTGGATCCAGCTAAAACTCTGATAAAAACTGAAACTGAAGGTCAGGGTCTTTGGCTAGGGATGTTGCAGTTGACAAAGCGTTGAGGACAGGAGGCTTTTACACAGTCCATGGGTCAGCTGAATCTGCAGAAACTATTTTTGGGTAATGTTTAGAGAAAACAGCACAAAGAAAACCAGAAACTGGCACAGCAAATATGCCAGGGCCTGGCTTTAAGGGATCAAGACCCTGGAAACAGTGAAGGAGAATATGCTGGCAGCATGTACAGAGCAGTCATTTCCAGTTTATTCTCCTCTCTCTTTTACTCACTGTACGTCCTTTTTACCTATTAATGTCTTCGAGTTTGGTGGTCTCATTTAAATAAATAAAATTAAACTGAATGAAATTATATAGAAAGCCAAACAATGCAGTCCCTCTGATTCTTTAAAATCAGACAGAAAAAAATATGACCTTATATCTATTTAAAATGATCATTAAAAAAAACATTTATGGCTAATTATAAAATGTTTTTAAAAATCATTTTATGATCATTTTTTAAAATAATGTTTCTATTTTGTGCCTTTAAATAAATTATTAATACAAAATCAGTGTAGATGCAAACTGATTGATTATTCTAAAAATATATACACATATTAAAAATCTTTAAAAAAAAAAAAGACTAATAAAAATGTACTGGATTTATTTATTAATAATATGAGTTTGTAATATACAGTACAGCTCTTTTGATTACACTGAGACCCATTGTGCATTACAATAGACAACTAATTTATAAATATTCTTCCATATGATATTATGACTTAATAAAGTCACCTCTCAGGCATCACTTTAAAACAGTCAAACTCATATATTTGAAGATTCATATATATATATATATATATATATATATATATATATATGTGGTTAATTATGCTCAGGAGGAACTCCAGGCTGTGATTAAATTCATGTTAAGGAGAAATTAAATTTCGTAATTAAGAGTTAAAGTATTGCCACACATCACGTCAGAGCGCCAGAGAGACGTGCGGGAAAGGGGCGTGACCACAAACGATAACCCCGCCCACTCCGCCAGGAAGACTGCGCGAGTTTTTATAAAGGATATGCGCACAAGTTTTGGCAGGACAGAGGGGGCTCTCTGCGGGGCAGAACTATATCAAAGACCCTTCAAACACAGGAATACTTCCACCGTGCCTTAACAAACCATCTGTTTGTCAACTTTGAAGTATTTTCAACAACCCCCGATTCGACAATGACTGCGACTGTTGTGTCCTCCTTCTTCGACTACGAAGTGATGAATAAGGTAATTTATATTTTTGGGAAGTCGATTTAAGCGTTTTAACAGTTTAAATGAGTGAGTAACAGATCAATATCTCATAATCTTAATACACAAAATGTAGCAATTGTTTTCTACACCGATGTCAACTTTTCTGGCTTATGTGCGCCTGCGTGTGTGTTAAGAGTAGGACGAGAATCTTGCTTGTGTGCTTTTATCTAGTCTTGTGCTTCTCATGATCTGCAGTTATCGATTAGGAAAGAATAAAGAAAGCTAATATATTAGAGAATAGTTTAATTCATCCGCGTTTATGCGTCACCAGTAAACGTATGCGTCACTTAGGCTAAAGTTGTGCATTATTTCTCCTGGATTCGATTAAACACAACACTGAGGAAGGCCACAGGTCTAGTTTAATTTGAATTAAATCAACGAGTTCTCCATTATGCGCAACATGTTGGGGTTAGACATCAACTTTTAATAATTCACCTTTCTTAACCACAATAGGATTTAACCAGCAATTTTGGTTGATTTATGGCATATCAGTTTAGTTACATGTATCTTTTAAAATAATCTATAGGTCAGTTGTGAGCATATAAAGGTATCTGTAAGCAATGCAACATTGTACTGTGTGAACGCGTTCTTGCATTCAAAACAGCTGGACGGAATGAAACTGAACACAAGGCGCAAGACCACTTTTAAAATTGAAGCCGACGATAAAGGGGTTGTTTGCCCCAAACTTAAGAACAGTTTACTGACCAATGCTATTCCAGTGCAGTGTTGTGTTTCTTTCTTCCTGAAAACACAAAAAGGAAATTGCATTTTGATTTAATGATAATGGATGGTGGTGTTTAAACGTCTAGCCTCAAAAAATATCATAAAAGTAGTTTATATGACTGGTGAGCAATATTTTGAGTCTCCTGAAGCCGTATTATAGCTTTGTGTGAGGAAGGGGCTAAAACCTGGAGTCATTATTGCTATTAATCTTACCCTCTGCTGTTGCTCATAAAGGTCATTCATTTCAAACATGCGTCGCTATCACGTGACATCAACCCTAGAATGTCCCTCTATATTTTAATAGAATCAACTGCTAATCATCTTTGAGAGCTATTACCGATGGGAATATTATCAGTCAATAATGACTTTAATTCCTCACAAAGTGCTGTCATTTGACCTAAACAGAACTGGAATATTGCTCACTATTCAGCATGGAGTTTTATAGGGCAAATAAATGACAAAATAGTTCTGGTTGAACTATTGGCATAAAACTTCACAAGCCACCTGACACTCATTGAACACGATTAAAAAATAAATAAAAAAGTATAATACAACACAATGGCCAGAGCTGTCCAACAGACATATGTTGTTTATCGTGTTCTTATCCCCAATACATTTATACAAACTAAAGGTTTTGTAACTTTAATACCATAGAAAAAGGGTTTTGTAATTACTGGTTGTGCAATAAATCATCATAGTATTGCGCACAATTTGTGCAGTTACTGGAGATGAGTCTACATGAGTCTTGTGCGTTTTCATCTTTTATGACTTAATAAAACCTTTCCCTTTTTAAAGAGATTGCTTGGTAGGTTAAAAGTTCAGGGTCATTAGTTCTCTCTCTTCAAAAAATAAGCCTTAAAACAGAATTAAATCCAGGCCCTAGACCTGACCTGAAGACAGACAATACCATCAACACATAATAAACTCCCACTGGTGGTATCTGGAGCAAAGGGAGTCATAGTCATGCCGCATTTTTGAGACATTGTTTTTTTCCCTTCACTTTCAGAACAATAAGGTGATGAGCTACAACAGTCCCCTCTCCAGTCCCCATTTACAGTCTGTCCCCACCACCGGTGCCAATACCCCCTTTACCCCCACCGGGTCCCTGCTGGACAGGAAGGTGGTGGGTACCCCTTCAGTGGGACTCTACCAGCGCCGCCACTCCGTGTCCATTACCAGTTCCAAATCAACGCAGAACCAATTTATCAACAGCCTCAAGATGGACGGCTCGGCTTCCATGAACGGGAGCAGCAACAACAAGGAGAACCGCTTCCGCGACCGGTCCTACTCTGAGAACGGGGAGCGTCTAAGGCCGAGCAACATCACGTGCATTAGTGCCAACGGAAACAGCCAAGTTAACTCAAGCCGCTATAAGACCGAACTCTGCAGGCCCTTCGAGGAGAACGGCACTTGTAAATACGGTGACAAGTGCCAGTTTGCCCATGGGATGCATGAGGTTCGTAGTCTAAATCGCCACCCCAAGTACAAGACCGAGCTCTGTCGCACCTTCCACAGCATTGGTTACTGCCCATACGGGCCGCGCTGTCACTTCATCCACAATGCAGAGGAGCGCTGCGGACCCCCTCCTCTCTCCGCCTTCAACAAGATGGAGCGCCCCCGCCTTCATCACAGCTACAGTTTTGCCGGTTTCCCAAGCTCAGGTGGCTCCCAGGACAGCCCAACCTCTGTCACACCTCCACCCATATTTTCCACCGAAGATGTCAATGAGTGGCCCAGCAACCCTTTCACTTACTCCAGTCAAGAGCTTGCCAACTTGTTTGCGCCCAGTTTAGGTGGCACCACTGTTCCTGATCTGCCCGGTCCTCATTCTCCCACCGCACCCTCCTTCTTCAGGCCAATGTCCGAGTCGCCCCCAAGCCCTCCGGATTCCCTCTCCGACCAGGAGAGTTACCAGAGCAGCCTGGGCAGCCAGAGCGGATCCGAGTCACCTGTGCTGGATGCCACACGTCGCCTCCCCATCTTCAGCAGACTCTCCATCTCTGACGATTAAAACCTGCCCTCAGGGGTTTCAGGCATGAGAGAGAAAGCACAGAGAGAGCTGGCGAGAAAGAGAGTAATTTTCCTCCTTGCAATCCCTTCCTGTCCTTGCTTTGTTTACAGCAGAGAAGTGGACTAAAGTACAGTGTTCTCGTAGCCACTGAGTCAAATCAGAAAACCTACTACCCTGTAGCATCAACCATCGGCGTATTCCCAAGCCTCCCTAGACGTCTTTAACACGCCTGACGTAATGCAAAAACAACGAACTGTTCCCCTCAAGGCCCACTTAAACGTTGAGGTCTCAAAATCCTCACTGGAACATGTTAAACGAATCCATATTTAGTTCATAGTGTTCGAACTAAAAAGCAGAGTTTTCAAAATTGTTCAAGGACCTTCTTGTTCGAAGAATCTACTGAATATTACAGCAACAACGTGCTTTACAGACCTGGAAGTGCCACTTTTCTTGCGGAAGACCCTCGCCGGTAGATCCTCGGGACTTTAAGTGCCTATCAAACAATTTGTTTCCTACTTGTTCAATCACATTGATTTTCGGAGATCTGGGGTAGAAAAGGTTTAAAGAAAGAATCAAACCCATCTTAGATTTGTATGAATCATTCTGAAAGATATTTGTACGTCTAGTGGTGCTAAATGCGCTGTCACCGTGGTAATTATCCCTAGAACATGTGATCCCTTGCGCTAAAATAGTGTGTTCTGGTTGTTGGATTATGTAAGAGAGATGTCCTTCCTGTTCATGTTACCACTAAAGATGTGACTTCAGTGGCCACTAATTGTTTCATTGCAAACAGATCGTTGAATTGTTCTATCTTTAATTCAATATTGTATTTCCCCTATTATTGTTATAATATAGTTATTATTGCATCATTACAATTATTGTTGGTATTTTCTGTTTGGAAATGAGAACTTTAAAACTGAAAGTTTTGCTTGTCAGTGCTTATTTAACTTATCAAAATGTATTTATTGCTGATTGTAAGCATTTTTTTTAATTTTGTTTGTATTTATCTGGATAATGAAACAATAGAATATATTTTCCTTTATGTTAAATTATGATCTTCCGTATTAATCGTAAGATTGTGAAGACCTTTTTTTCGTTAAGTTTCAACAGTTAATATATTATACTGCAATGACATTTTGTAACTACATTTTGATTTATTTTTAAAGTGAAACTTAATTTAAAATGAGAATGCAAAGAGGATTGTTTTGCATTTTATTTATTATTTTTCTCCCTAATGTTGGACTGCAGTTTCAGGATGTTTATGCCTCTATAATCCATTATTATTTGGCTTCGACCGTCTAGAATGTAAACCGAGTTGTCTTGACAATAACAGTCCTGTGCCTGTGATTTTAGAAATCTGATGTTTAGACTGGGATCCTCTCATTAAGACTCCTTTTGGTATGAACAAATAGTAGACAATAAATGCATTATAGTACAAATCTCATGACCCTCGCAGTGGTCCGAACCTCTGATCGCAGCAGCATTTTGATCTAAATGGACGGTTAATAAGGGAATTGTTAAATATGCATTTGTGTATTTATTTTGCCCATTTTGAAACCATGTTATGTACACCAGCAAACATGTGTTGTTTTGATTTGTTATGACTCAAAATTCTTATTTATTTACAGATTTTGGACCACTTCTATACTTGCTAAGTGCCTAACAGTACATTCCAAGAGTCTTGAACCTTTTTAGGATTGTAATCCAGAGTCGTTATATAGATTTTAGTTGAAATTCGGGGTTAACAGGATTGACATTGAGCTAGCTACAGTTGAATGTGTCCTATGTTAGCAGCTACTGCTGTTCACATCAATATGTTTCTTTTGTAACGACAGATTGCAGTTTAAATCAATAAAATACCTATTTATAAGCAAACTGACCTTGT